TCCTCAGTTTGACGAGTATCGCCACTCTTTGAATGCAGCCCTTCTAGCCTTTTGTGTCAACCTTACAGTGATCACACCCAGGGCAAATGTCTTTGCTTGCTCGTGAGAGTTTGGGGTAGTGCCCAATGGCAAGGTATGTTGCCTCTTCTGCTTTCTCCTCCACTAGACCGCTTGATGCCCAGACAAGGGGTTGATTTGACATGGCCTATTCTTAACAAAGTGATGCCTATTTTTAACTACCTTGTCTTCTAACTACCTACAAAGTGGTCAGAGGTTTATAATAGGATGACTGCGTCATCAGTTCTTCCTCCACTCTTCGAAAAAAGATGCTATTTTCACTCGGTTTCCTGGGACATCCTCTCTCCCTCATGTGTTCTCAAAGTACTCTACAGACTACTTCAGCTTGTTCCTTAAGTTCCCTAAGGTGAATCTCATAAGGCCTTGCTGACATAATCAAAATAATATTTAGCTGGCTCTTTTCTTTCCTTAGCCTGCAGTCCTCTCATGATGTAAAATTTAATCTGGCTAAGCAGCTCATCACATTTTCTTTGTGAGAAGACGAAGCAAAGAAGGCGCCGAATGCTTCAGATTTCTCTGCACTGTTATTTGCTCTCTTTCCTGTTAACTAACAGGCTTGCCTACTCCTTCATCTTTTTCTTATTATACCTTTCTTATTGTTACTATCCGTCCTCCTTATTAATTGAAAATCATTTTGCATCTCAGCCTTTTTGATGTTATCACCACAAGCTTGTGCTATTCCTTTGTAACTATTCTCAAGTATATGCCTGTGCTTCCATTCTCTGTATGGCTCCTCTTGAATTTCAGGTCACAAAAATGTTCCCAATTCAATCAATATCCTTCTGAATACACCTCCTGTCTTCGCTTTGCGTGCAGGCTGTAAGGAGTGCTGCACATTCTCTTCTGAAAAATGACCCTACAAACCTCGCGCGTGTAAAATATTTAATGAGCTTCAAAACTGAAGCTGCTGAATGGTAGCATCTCACCAGCCTATGCCGCATTTCAGTGAGTCTTGCTCAAGTAGGATTTTAGGATTTCTAGACAGGTGTGGGTTAAAATTCATCAGTTACATGAAATTCGTAACAGCTGCAGAGCTGTTTGCTCCTCTTTATCAAGAGGAAGTGATCAGAAACACTACGCTGAATAAAGCCATCTCTAAGGACAAAGCCAAAGTCATAGGCTGCTAAGCATTCACTTTTAAAGCTGCTGCAAAATGATCTCCAACCAGCTGAATAATGTCTACGGTTTGCTAATTAAAACCCAAGCATAAAAAGGCTAAAATCCACTCACCGATTTGCCTTCAAGCTGATTTAAGAAGTGACGGTTTGGAAAGTCACCATTTTTAGAAACTAACACTCAAATTCACATCAATTGATTTCTTCACTCTAAGGCACAGAGTTTTACCCATCACAAAAGCACAGGCATTACTCACGTCTTGTCATTTCATCATTTTCTTTGCAAATGGTCTGTTTCAGCTGCTCAATCCTCATCTTGCAAGACATTATTTTCCATCTCTGAAAAAGAACATTCGGCAACTCTAGGGCACAAACGACTTCAAACACACTGACTAATGATTAACAACAAAGCCAGCAGCTTTAGTGCAAAAGTAGCAGGATGTTCTTAATTGGATCAGACGAACAAATAAATATGTCGTATACGGTTTTGTGCACAGAAGAATGCCACGAACAAACCGAATGCTTAGTATAAAGTCAATCAGTATAATAAGTTATTGAACAAATATCTAGTAAGAAATGAAAAATATTGACCGCTTGGAGCACTCTGCTTGCAGAGCCAATTTCAGTTTTGCTTACAACAGGCTTTTTGGGAAAGCAACACAATGCCCTCAAGGTAAACTGTAACTTTAAACTATGAGATCTAGGAATTCAGAGAGTTTAAAAACTATGGGACACTTTGAACAACTCACCAGCCCTTCCATGGCCTTCAAAACACTAGAGGAAAAAACATGATTGAAAGTTTTATGACTATCTGGACTACGTCTGTCTCCAGCAACAGCGTGTTAGAGAGACTGTTTTGTTTTTCTGAGAGTTCTTATAGGTTATTTTCATTTAATAACTACAACTTACTGTTTTTGGAATTCTCTCTGTTTGGTTTTAAGATGCATCAGCCTTTCTTTCTTGTCTGAAAACCTGGAAGAGATTAAATGGTTTTATTGGTATTTTGCACAACATGACATTGTAAGTTGTCTGAAACAATAAAAAGACTGAAGCTTGTGGGAGTCTTTAAACCTCAACTATCTGTCTTAATCTTTGGAAGTAATGGCTAAATGTATAAAGCTCTTGCAGAATTCTAGAGCATGTGTCTCACAGCAATTGCAACAGAACCCCTAAAGCTGAGGAAACATCAGCTTGTCTTATTATCAAACTTGTAAGCAAATTACTTGCTATTTCTAGAAGATTTATAGCTTAGCGATAGCAATATTTTGTGTATTAAGAAAATCACACAGTACTCTAAAAACCTTTAGTCACTGGAGAAATTAATAGTACTATCTGAGATGCCGTAGCGCATTATTTCACAAGCTGTGATGGTATTAGCTGAGTCCACTCTGGCAGTGGGAAATGGGGGTTTTCATACACTATGCACTGCGTTATTCTCCCTTCTCACGTGGAAATGTCTCACACTTTATTCATTAATGGGTCCAAATAGGACAGTCCTCTCTCAAGGCTTTTACGCGACATCCAAATCTTTCTTGTATTAGTAACAGCAGTAAGTTGCATTGTCTTCTACTTATTCCCGCTAGGCACTTGTAGCCAGCACAAGTCCATGACCCAAATGTCTGCTTGGGTTCAGCTTCACCGGACGTCTGAGGCATAGGAACTGCGAAGAACTGAGCAGAAGGGAATCTTCTTAGGATTCATCATCCTGTGTTTTCACCCTTTGAACATGCAGCAGCCATGTTCTGCTCCCCTCCATGTTCCACAACGTATTGAGAAATACATTTAAAGAAAATAGCATACGAACGATGCATATTGAGAAATTACGATGAAGCATGAAGTGACAAAGCTAACAGTAAGAGCAAACAGCAAGAGAGGCAGCCGAGAGATTTAGACGGCATGAAAAATAGCAAATGTGCTTTGTCTTCTGCCAGTGTATGGCTTTCCAACTTAAAATATAATCACCCATGCTACAGCACCATCCTGCAGCACCATCCTGATCCGCACTGCAAAAGTGTAACTGGGGCTAAGTCCAAGTACGGAAAACCAATTCATTACATTTCTCTCTGGAACATGTAGAATTGACAATTTCATCCTAACAGAGGCCTAATACTTCACATACAACCCATCAAGTCCTTTATTTCAGGGTTATCTAAGCTCTATTTATAAAGAATTATACAGTAAGCCTTGACAGGATGGCATCTTGTGCCTCTCTCTCTCTGCTCAGCTCTGTGGGTTTGATTTCAGCTAAAACTTTAAAATGCTTCATTTCTTTCCTTCAAGTGCTGAAAGCTTGGTGACTAACTTTGGGTTCAGAAAGTGTGTAATCACCCTTCCAGATGACATTAGCATTAAAACAACAATAAAACTACCGGCTGGTGCCTTCGTAGTCAACCAAAAATATCTGTTTTCCTTCCAAAACAACCCAAACCCAAATGCAGGTGCTTGGCATAAAAGCCAGAGGCCACACGTGAGCCGGAGGAATGTGGTGCAACTGGAGCCCGGCGGCTCAACCCGGCACGTTCGTTCTTCCTGTGTGTCCTCACCCCACCAGTCATCATGGAAATTACAAAAGTGCACTCTACTCGACTCCTGTTTACCACAGAGTAATGCACACCTACTGTACCCCCGACCTTTGGCTGCAACCAAAAATAACTTGGCCCAGAAACACACCGCTCAGCAGTGACACAGGGAGAGCGAGCTGGGGTGATTTGGCAATTCTTGCTTTCAAAGCTGGAATAATGGGCACGGAGTCTGACTAAACGCAATTACCCAAATCACGTCCATCACATCAGCAAAAAGTTGAATGATCTGTCAAGAATCCGGGACTAAATTAAGTTCTTACTGGGGAGGGAAGATGGAAATATTTGTGAAAGCCTGCAAAAATTACAGCTCACCACGCACTTCAGCAACTATGTCAAACGGCTCCTACAAACTTCTTTAGCAGGCTTCTCCTAAGCAAACATTTCCATTTCTTTATACAGCCCTAATTTTAATTGCATTGCATCGTGTAACATATTTTTCTCTCTATGTCTACAGCCTTTCAATGTGGCAAAGAAACAAAACTTTGGATTATAGGAATATATTATAGGAACTCCCATAAAATGTAAACTGAGAGAAGCAGGGAACTCAACATCTCAAATGATCCATTAAATGTTTCTCTTTCCTCAAGTCTCATCACATTAAGCTGAGATTTTCTACCGTTACCTGGCTTATTTCCACATGTTCATAATTAGAAAGAAGCAACCAGGAAGGAGGACTTCCTAATCTCTAGGAATTGACTAATGCTGAAGGAGCTGAGGACAGCAATAGGTGCATCCATTACCGTACCTATTCACTATAATAAAACTCCATTGCTGCAAAAAGTCAGTATTCCTAATCATAACCCACAGCTTAGAGAAGTCAGACAGGCTTAGACGTCACAATTATATTGTCTTTGGCTTTTGCCATCTGCAGACATATAAAGCAAAGCAATTTAGTATGCTTGTAAAATACACTCTGCGAATTTATGCATATGACAGGCTGGAGTAAACTCCCAGGAGCAAGAAGAGTCTCCGAGCTGAAACCAACATCAAGATGCCGGCTTAGCTTTTGAATATATAACACATTACTAATGAAAAGAAGAATGTCGGTGATTATTTTACTGGAGGACTTCCGGACTACTCATCCTTAATTGTAGCTGTACTTCAATAATTAATCTTAACAGCTCCTCAATCTCTCCCCCTCACAGATACAGGGTGTGATTTTCGCCAGATGTATGAACAACTTCAATCCTACCGTAGCTTTTATAAAAATCAGCACACAAAGCAGTCCAATGAAAAGAAATTGGAAATAATTCTTACTGTTAGAACATGAAATCATCTATCTTCTCATAAGGAAAAATCACAAGAAAATTCTGAAAGTAAAACACCACTGGATAGAAGGGGTAACGCTCGCTTTCTTTACTTTTCACGAGAGAGAGAACCACCCTTTCCCCCAATCTGTAACACTTCAAGAAGCCAAACGGGAGGCCCAAGTGACCCCATACACTGCCACACTCTGAACTTCTCACACCGCGCTTATAACCAAGTCGCACAGAAAAGCCCTTGCCATGACCCTGTTGGCCTCCTCCAGCACCGGCCATAACGCTGATCTAAAATTAACCCAGGTACTACTAGAAGGCGTAAAACAAACAAATAAATAACGATGACAGTAAACACAGCCTGAAATCCGGCCAGTTAACTGCACCTCTCCCTGCATGACTCTGCCATGGTGTGTGGTCACAGTTTAAGAAGTCGCTTCCTCTTTCTGCTGCCATTGCAAGAAACTCATAGACACCCGCTCGCTGCTTACAAAGAGGAAACAAAGAAAGTCGACCTCTGAAGTTGACAGGCTCTTTCTCTCTCACTCTAATATCAGGCATTCCAAGTATTAATCGTAGAATGCAGACACATTTCAAGCACAGTTTTAAAAAGAAGTAACTCCATTATCTTCAAAAGAACAAGAAGAAACCCAAGCTTTACGGGGCTTTGTCCCTACGCTGAGCGTTCCTCCTGCGACCAAGCATGCTTACGCTATTCACATCGTGTTATTCATATACGTTATGTTATTCCTTTAATTCATTAATATGAAGTTGCCGTTATCAATGAATTGCACTACTGCTTGGGCAAGTTTTGAGCAGCAGGAGAAACAAAGCCTGAGGAAATCGAGCATGCAGGGAGGCCCCCCAGAACGGAGGCTCTAGGAGAACAGAACAGCAGCGATCCTCACAGATGGAACCATGATGTCCAGGCAGAGGGGGGAAAAAAAAAGACACACACACACACAAAAAAGGAGACTAATTCCTGCAGTTAAGAAGCACAGCGTAAATATACAGAACATTTTCTAGTCACAGATGAATGGGACAGTTAAAGCATCTTATGAGGATTCAGTGAAAACTGTCAGACAGAAAAGCTGATCTTGTCTCACGTGAGAAGATACGAGGAAGATAAAGAGGGTTTTTTTCCCAACAAGCTGTTGCTTCTGGTACTTTGGCTAAGGCTGCTGCTTTGTGGTTTCATTTTTCTGACGGGTAGAGAAACATCTTAAGCCTCGGTTAACACAGAACAATAGTGGTTCTACTATAACAAAGGCTACAATTGAATTTCTATAATTAAGCCAGATGTTTAGCCAAAATCTTAAGGCTACAAAATGGGCAGGAAAAAACAGTTGGTTTTTGTTCCAAATTCCAAACCCAGTTTTTTCACGGAAGCTGCAGATAACCCCGAGCAGTCTCACACAAACACAAGTTTTCCATCTGTTTTAGAAAGACTAAATGCAGTTTGTGGTTCCATGACACGGTCTTTCATGTGAAATAAAAAAAAAAAAAAAAGAAAACCCCTCCAGTGGCAGAGTAAGGTCTCGATTTTGCAAGCTGAATCACGTTGGCTGACACCCTGTGCCCACTCCCACCGATGTTAATGGCAGAAAGACACCGCCGTCCCCTTGGCTGTTCTTGTATTTGGCAGAAGGACGCCAAGAGCCTTTGGTGCGAGGACCATACCGCACCACGCGTTGCTTACCACCTTCCCAAAATAGTTCAAGAAATCACCCTCGACAGCTGCTAATGAAGCTACAAATAAAGGACCAAGAACACGGCGTCAGCCAAAAATCAGAGCTATTCCGGAGGCGGCGCTGGGCAGACTTTTTAGGAATCTGGGATGGACATGCTGTGAACGACAGCTACGGAGGGGCGATCTGCATCTGAGTCACATAATGAGAATATCTGCTTATTGACGTAACGCTCATTCAGCCGCCCTCCCGTAGAGCCAACGCTTTGCAAAAAGGAGCAGGAAGGTGCGTGATTAACTCAAGTGGAGTATTTTTTCTAATTCTAAAAGGGGGCCCGTGATTAGGACTATTTATATGGACAAGAAAATAGAAAAGGTGTCGTTTTCTTGCACGCCTCCCCGATTTTGGTCAGTGGTTTAGAAGACGACCGGTTTAACGCATCCTGCTGGAGAGAGATACGCGTTTCAGATATCCTCGTTTTGCCCTGAACTGACTGGAGCTTCTGTCGGCTACATCAACACGGGCACACATCAACACGGGCACGCCTGCTGACAGCTGCACCTGACTAAGTGAAAGTCGGGGTGCTGTATTATATTGTTATTATTATTATTATTGCTGTTATTATTATTTTAAGCAACGCACTGTAGGTCCTGCTCTGCTCCCCCCGCCCCCCCCCCCCCCACC